TTGGCAACTGCTTCATCTTCCTGAAAGTTTCAAGTAAAATACACTAAGAATAGATTGCGATACATAACTACTTGCATCAGAAGTAATATGAATACGTAATAAAATCCTAAAAAAGATAAATTAAAGACCGATATCGGAAATCTTGGGTCATCATGAAACAGAAATACTTTAGCAATTGCATTTGGTTTGTGATCAATTGAAAGGGGAATATTATTTATGCCATAGACGAAACGATTCTCCAAATGGAGTGGAAATTAAAAGCCTCACAATAGCTGGAAATTAATATGATTAAAGAGATACATTTTTTATCAAGAGATTGCTAAGTAAAGGACGCAAATTAGCTTCCATTTTGGAGCCACAAAAGTCATTGGTTCGAGAAACCAATCGGATATTCTCGAATTTTTTCATTTCCCAATCCTCGATTTTCTAGAAATTTGTAAATCCACAGCTTACATCATAATAATAAAAAAATCCAAAATTCAATATTTTATAAATATTATCAACCACATGATACTCTTGCTTGAAAAGTATACTGAGGCAAATATCCGAAATGAATTAGAATATGTTTATTAAATAAATATTATTTGAAGGATATTATATTCCACAAATTTCTCATGCAAAGTAGAAAAAAATAATACTGCTCGGCAAACTTACGTACGATTCACTATATAAAGCAACAAGAAGATACATAGCATAGTCATAATTCTGTTTTCTTGTGAAGCACCTAAATATGAAGGATTTCAATAAATAGCAATATTGTTACGAAAATATTGTCAAAAACATGAAAACAAACAAAATTACAGCAGTGGAATAACTTGTTACGAAAAGATGAATAATACAAGAATAAGTATTACCTGTCAGTTATGACTGTGAGCATATCAGTTTCAGGATTATATCTATCCCCTGCAAGTCGAACTAATTTATCAAAAGCATGCTCATCAAGATGTAGATCAGATACTTTGAGATTAACAACAATGACACGCGAACGCATGTCTCGCAGCGAATTACCCTGATGTACGTAGTCACAATATGACAAAATTAATGGGAAAAATTTATGACGCATGTTCACATCCAGTTTCTCAGGCCATTTTGTGCAAAATTCTGAAAAAAAAAAATGTGAAATACAGTTATTCGGCAGAACTGACCAATTTCTCGCTACTTGAGGAAAACTTATTAAAAAAATACTTTCAAACACAAAAAATAACTAAATCATGAGATTAATTAATCTTTCTTTAAACTAACAAAAAAACAAAACCGCTAAATTGAAGTAATTTGCTAAAACAAAAAAGAAACTTTTTATTGCATTGCAGTGCCTTTCAATTGCTGCCGGAGTAAGATGAAGAAAGTTTGGTATTTTCACCAACTCTAAATTTCCTTCCTGAAATCAAGCATTCAAATTTTAACTTACGCTAGTAAAACGCAAAGGATCCACTGCACACTTTAGAATCAACATTAATATATTAAAAAAATGAAGACTTTTAATCGGAGCGAACTGCTTAATCTTCCAAAATCTGCGTAAAGAGAAAGACCGTTTTGAAAGGCGCTCTTCTATCTGGATGCCTTCTGGAACCCATTCGAACTGGAAGAGGCACTACAGAAGATCGAAATGAGCGTGAAACTGGCCAGACATTTGGCCAATCTTGTTCGGTACTCATTTCTTCTTTCCGAGGTCGACGTACCTTAATACTTTTTCGATAAGATTAATAGATATGGAAAGATAGAGCGTATTCAGAACACAAATATCACATATAAATAAAAGTTTTATTTTTCGCAAACAACAAGATGGTAACGGTACTTTCATGCGAAATCCATTCTAATCCATTTAAAAATCCTAATTTACTAATGTACCTTTTTACAAATGTTAGGCTCTACATTTTAAGATTTTCCAAGCGAATCATAAACTATATCATTAACATAGTCTCACTGAAGACATTCAGTAAATTTTATGATCTGCACCCTACACAAAAAAGCAAAGCATGCTACGAAAATATATTCAGCTCACCGTGATTCGTTGAAATAAATCACCTCGTGGTAGACTTTTAATTTCGGTTTGACCTGTTTCCCTTTCAATGTTCAACTGTGTCCGTAATTTTCGATTTGGACCCAAATAAACAGGACGAAACGGCTCACCCTAAGACATATTCACTAGTTTCTATTCCGATAAAATTGAAAAAATTTAAAGATCTAAAACACTTTTACCACCAATTTTTACACCATAGGCATTTTCGCAAACAATTTAATTATGTAAAAATGCCCCAATTTAAAACTTGGTTTAGAACATAAACTAAGAGACATATTTATGATTTATTTTCATCAAGTATTCAATAATTAAAGGACATGTTCAAAACGCTTAATTCTAACAAGCGGAGAATAGTTTAACTTAGAACAAAAACTCCCTAAAAACATATCACGTTCTATTCAAGAACTTTATGCCAGGTACCTCAGAATCAACGAAAGTTAGATAAAATGAAAGTAAATAATTAGTTCCATTACTTTACTATCTCGCTGTTCTTCCAAACTTCGTTTTTGATCTTTTTCTTCTTGGTTGATATCGATTCCGGAAACAGCTTGTAGCATAGCTTCGGCTAAATTTGATTGCAAACGGCATACTGCCGTTGTTATCAAGGAATTTATTGGAACGCGCACAGAAGTAATAAACATAGTTCTAAAACTGATAAAAACTAGGCAGTTCAATACACCATCAATGTATATTAATGGATAACTGTCAAAAAATAGCAGCATTTCATTCATATTCATGTAGAATATTTTCAAAAATCACGAGACAAAAATTAATAATAATAAACATGAACAAAAAAATATCAAATGCTCTGGATGAATATCAGTGAAATTACTATTAGGCATCTTATATGTCCCGTGATTTCTTAACTAAATAATGACCTCTGGATCCAGAAACTTAAACGAATCAGACAATAGTTTTCCATAAATAAAAAACAAGAAACAAAGAACATGCTATTTGTCATAAACGGTTACGATTTGAGTTGCGATCGGATTGCTTATGCAACTAAGTGATTTGATTACAAAGCGAGCACCTAACTTCTTTGCTAGTTTGCAGTAGAAGAAGTGATGTCAGTCAAATTATTATCTTCTGTCCGAAGATAAAATCTCAAAAAACTGAAGCCTGTCCAATGAACGCTTCTGACATTACTAATTGTAATTCATTGTACTCTGTAAATCACAACTCTTTTGCAAAAGATTCAAGCAATTGTATTGTGAAATTCAAATCCTAATCAAACAGTCTAAGAACTTATTGAATAATTAACACTTGCATTTTACAGAAGCTGACTGCAAGTGGATTTGGAAATGCATAAATTTACATGCTAGTAAACTATAAACAAAGACACTATAAATTCACTGGAGGTACTGTTATACTGAAAGTCATTTAATGAGGTCAACTATTTACGAGTATTCATTTCATACTTAGTTTAGTAGCGAATGGTTTGGTTAAGCTCAGTATAGTGAAATTCTAGTGCAAAAAAAATCTGAGATTTAACACGTGCGGTTTAATTACACAGTCCTGGTTTTATATTTTTTTATGATTAAAAAACACCCATTATTCTTTTCTACTTAATATTTTCATAAATAATTCGCATTATTTTAGATCGTAGAGAGAAACTGCAGCATGAGCAGATGCAAAATATTTGTGGCAAATATTTCCATCCTTGTCACCGCAGCGGCCGTATTTCTTGGCATTTACCTATTTCCGTCTTTCGAAAAAGTAATTAGATAGAGTTTTCATTAAGTTTTTAAGACTTGAGCAAAGTCAAAAAGGCGAAAGAGGGTCAGAAATGCTATAAATGGTACCTTTAAACATACTTCTGAGTGAGTAGCAACAGTAATGTGAAAACTGTGTCATCTCAAATGAGTGCAAAACATTGGTAGCATATGTTTGCATCGTTGTCATTGCAGTGGCCGTATTTCTTGTATTTATCTATTTCATTTATTCAAATTATTAGTCAGAAGTAACAAAATCTCTAAACCTTATCCTTTATCTATTGATTGAACTATTTTTTAACTCTTATTTGATTAGTGTCAATCATTTTGATGTAGTGTGGGAGAAAATGAATGGTGATCGGAGAACTTTCTGATAAATGCCCCCTTCAAGCATTCTTGCAAGTTTGAAGAAGACAAGCATCATACGATGTAGGCAAAAATGTCATCAGAATTTTAGATGTCACAGAACAATGGTAGAGAATTGAGTTACAAGATGAGGCCAAAAAGAGATGAAAAGGAGTGCAAGAAAGAGTGCAGAAGAATAGCTTACTGCACATATTACGAACAGATGGCGAAGAAAAACATTAAGATAGAATCAGGACCAGATTTTTATGTTCCTGAACATTGTGTTGTAGACGATAGCATTAATCAGTGTCAGTGTGATAGATTTGCATTTTTTGTTCCCAAATGATGCACAGATAGGATAGGATGTCTCTGCTTGCTATCTTTGATGCAAGTGATGCTTTCTGAATTTCGCTGTACTGGCATATTTACACAATTCATGAAGTCATTTGCGACATTATTAGTTCTCGCACTTTCTTTATTCATTATCTCAGTGTCAGTTTTTTAACATTTCTGAAGCAAAGAATATTGCTACTAAGTCTCAAGAATATATTCCAACAAACAATCGAGCAAGCGTAAAACATATCTCAGCTACAATAATTCACCAATCCTTTCATTCAGTAATGTGTATAGTAATTTTGTAGCATCCTTGTCAGTGCTAGAAATAAGATCCTTATTCCTTTATATATAGAGAGAAGAATAAATTTTTACCATTACCGTTGTTCATTATAGATGCTATGAAAAATCTGCAATACAAAAGAATTGAGGTCCTGATGACAAAGATGTGTGAAACAGTAAATTTAAGTTTGAAGCCAACACCAAGACTGATCAGCAACTAAACTTGAGCCCCAGTATAGATATATGAGTGAAAGAAAATATGGAGAGTAGTCTTCTTTTCCGCCTAATTGATTCTGGCGCTGACTCGTATCTTGGGGCTCCAGTGTACTTTATATATATATATCGATTTGTTCATTCGATATATCGAATGATTTATCAGTCCATAAGTAATTATTTATTTATACTTATACCAAGACTTTGAACTGAGAAAATGTTTAGAGAAAGTACAATCAATCAATGAGTGTGAAGACAAAATAGTAGGTACGATCTGAAAAGTACTTTACTAATCTAACACATCACAGTTAGGCCGACCCTACCATCAAAACTTGTGCATTTTGAGAAGAGAAGCCTATGAGGCGGCATAGATAAAAGAAGAAAGTACAGATATATTTGCAAAGATTGCTGCACAGACTTGCCAAGAACAGAAAATCCAAAGGCAGGGATAATATTTCGCAATGTAAGCATGTCTGTAGGGCAGACAAGAAAGTTGCATACTAATCTCCATACTGTCTTCACTGTCGACAGTGACAATCTGAGGAGCAGTTGGGTATGTTTGGATGTCCAGACACCAAATGGTTTACGTCATACAACCGTTCACAAAATTGGATGCAATATTCGTCCTGCTTGTTCGATTTGTCAAAGAAGGCGCTTCTGGACCTCGCTTTCTTAAAAGGTTAATCTTTTTCACTAAATTTGAAGGTACAGAAATAGGTGATTGTATTTATTGCTATCGTTACTATGTGAATGGATTAGCAGAAAAATTCGCAAATAAATTACTAGAAGTAAATTGCTGTTATGGGAGCAATACGGATGATATTACTCAACAAAAAAGGGGGAATAATAGAATATAGGAGATTTCAAATAGTAACGGTAGTCTTGTCACTGTTTATCGAGTATGTGAAGCTGTTGTTTTTACTACTTGCTGTTGTTTTGATGCAATCCTTAATTTGAACAGGATGACATGAAAAAGAAGAGGTATATGAAAAAAGATACAGGAGAACCGAAAGTTAAGTAATGAGAAAGATTAAGAAAGGGTTAAAAAATGCAAAAGATGAGTGAAAAAAAGAATAAGATTATTAGATAGAAAATAAAATGAGAAGTGAATGGATATTTCTTAATGAAAGAAGAAAAATAAGAAAGATACAATTAATTGAAACATGATGAAAATAGAAAATTAGAAGGATGAAAATGATTATGAGAGTAGAAGTCAAGGTGTCAGTTTCAATTCTCTTGCGGTATTGATATAATAACTAGTATTATTGTACTTTTAATAACTGTGTGTTTGTTTTGATAACTTTGTTACCGAATCATTGCTTAATGTTTTATACTCATTTATTACAGGTGTTTATGTATATATATGAGTATGTGATTGTGAGTTATTTTGCTTTTGACTCTTTCGATAATATCAAATGTAAAATATTTGAATGACACGGAAGAGATAAAATATGAAAAAAAAAGGATAAAACAGATGATAGAAATGATGAAAAATATCGAAGAACTCACATAAGAAGTGAAAGATGTCATAAGTTGAAAAAAAGATCATAATAAAATAGAAAAGAAGATGATGATTTAAAAGACTTTTCTTTATTAAAACGAATATAAATATGAAAATAGAAGAAAAGAGAAATGAAAATGAAATGATTGAGAATGAAGTCAAGTTGTTATCCAATCTGTGTGCAAAAAAAGGATGAAGATGGTTGAGAAAGAAGAAGTCGATTTGCCGTCCAATCTGTGTTCAGTTTGGCGTTATGCTTTTAACAACTGTGGGTTATATACTTGCAATGATTTTATCGACTTTTTGCTTAACGTTTTGTACACATTTATTCTATATGTGTATGCATAAAAATATGTGGTTGTGAGTGTGATTTCTTCGGTTTTGATTGTTTTAGCATATATTGATTGCTTATATGTTTAACAGTATAGTATTTCTTTTAAGCAATAATGTTCAGGAAATTGTTTGTTGGCGCACTAACATTAAGCATGTTACTTCTGTCAGATGCAAAACATGCGTCTATTCAGCAATTTTCTTGATTTGGCGGCGATCATTAATCATTTTATTGGCGTTTATTTTTGATTTTTTTTGAAATAATAATTGTGGGATACGCAGATGGTGTGCAATCGATTAAGAATGATAGTTTAGCCAATTTATTTTATTTATTGGATTCTTTTTAAGCTCACTATGATGCTTTTTTTCAATTTGAGCTGAGCTGTAAGCAGTCGTAATTCATTTCAATAATTAATAAAGCTAGCTCGTATTTATTATAGTTTTATCGATGAATGAAATCGATCTCAAGCCTTTTGTTTGAAATTCTGTAGTGAATTCGAGTGCAATTCATTTAGGTTTCTTTCGACAAAAGTCGAAGTAATTTGTATTTTTTATCATTTTTTCAATCATAATTTAAATTAAGGTAGCATTGGTAAATGGAGGCAAGAAAGAGAATTCGCTTTTAATCCATTTGCACACTTTTTCTTGCTTTTTTGAAGTTTAATTACCTTCTTAAACTTGGCAGTTTTTTGTTTCTACCACAATACTCTTTTAGATGTTTCAAATCTTGATCTTGATGAAAACAAAAAAAGTCAAGATATTTTTAATGTTACTTTTAAAAACCCCTCATTGTTGTCTCATCGACATTATTAATTTGTTTATTGTTTTAAACTTGCAATTTGAAGGAGAGATAATTCATTAAATTGAAAATAGTTGACTAATGAGGTTGAACTGTTTTCATCAAAACATTTAAATTCCTATATAATTATTTGAACAACTCTGCAATAATAACTCAATTTTATTACAGTTTCGATTAGTAGCAAAGAAACTATTTCAAAGTGACTTCGCTGTTAAAATTAGCCTGAAGGCTAGTGATACCGACAATAGTTACATTGAAGAAATTTGATGGGTGCTGTGCAATAGGCTATAATCATAGGATTAAAAAACTAAAATGAACCAGTGAATTTTTAAATCAAAAAAAGGCTTCACTGAGCAAGAAACACTGGTATAAAATCAGCAAACACATTATAGTAAATGTTAACTACTAATTTCTCACACGGATGATTATTTGAACAAAATTTGCATTGTTACAAAATCTTTATCCTTTAAAAATCTCTACAAGATTTGCGCAAAACATTACCATTATATTCGTCTCAAGGGAACAGTTAGAACTAAATTTGGATTCTATCTCTTTCAGAAAGTACTTTAAAACTGCAAACATTACGCTCAGTAACAAGCAGACATAATATCGTGAAGTGTGTTAAAGGTTAAACCATATAAGTTGGAATCATTCTATTGGAGTCAAATAAAATAAACCTGTGAATAACTTTCAAATTATACTGACATTAGGTAATTCTAATACACAGATTTTTAACAGTAGACTTCTTTTTTTTACATTAACAGAATTATCTACAATATTCAGTGTACAGCATCTTTAGGTGATTCACTTCGTAATCTGTCTAGTCTTCATAATAAAACTTTCTACTGTATAGTCATTTCTAGTGTATACGTCAGGTTATATAAGAAATAACTCACATTATTCTTATCATCTTTTTCTTAAGCATTTTAAAAATCCTTTATATTATGATAAGAATTGTTTTTGTTACTTCTATACCTTCTACTCTCAAAAGTACAGGTCCTTATCCTGTATATCACTAGGACGTAAAGTATTCAAATAACATTCGCTCAACTTCTTACTCAAATCCAATCATTATTCCAATTATTTAACTAGCACAATCCGAACTTTATTCACGGCTCCCTGATCCAGTCAAAATCATGTTCATGAATGTTTTATTTTTTGCTAAGCCAAGTTTTTGTTTCAATTGTCAGCAAATTAAATGTTAAGTAAATAACGTACCACCAGTCAAGCACCCTACACAAATTTCGTTTGGCGGACTTGAGTAGACGTAATGATAATATTCATGAACTTTAAGAGAAAATGTTTAACAGCTGTTTCGATGACATTTTATTGAACAAAAGTCTGACCAAAAGGGTTTTGTTGATAATGAATAGCTTCAGATTAACAGTTGGCTTCGTTCGGCTCATAAGTCATTAAGGAGGTAGTAAAACAAGGCTATTACTTGTATATATGTAGTAAAACCTGATATCAAGAACTATATATTACAAGCAATATAATCCATATTAAGTCATACAGTAGCTCGCCCAATTAGAATTATTATAACATACCACTTCTTTATGTTGATTTCGAATTCAGGTAATACTTGTGATTACGATTAAAGATTGGGAATTTTAAGGTGCTTTGGTTCTAAAAGATCAGCAGAGTCACATGTTACGGGCACTTGTGATCTTCACTCTTGGCGCGATAGTAACTTCAAAAATCGTTCCACCCTCGATCTCGACAAAGGTCTTCAAAAACTTTTTCATGTCATCCAAACTGAGCCACATTTAGAAGCAGTAACTTTGATATTTTATTGCACTCTACCCTCTACCTGCATCAAACTTCTCACCACTTTCATTAGCAATGCTCTCTCCGATAAAACAAGGATCTTTAGGAAATAAAGATAAGCAAATACTGCCGCCGCAGATGCGTAGAATTTTTTCGGTGTTTTCAAAATGAACTCATCCAGTTGAAAGAAGCACCAATGTCTTTTTGCGACAGATACCAATCAAACTGTAACTGCTTCGAAACGGGAAATGATAAAAAACTCGAAGAAAGTTACGAAGATTATTGTAAAACTTAATTCAAACTTATTACAAAAATAAAAATGTATAGAAAATTTCATGTCACCAAATATACCAAAATAAGCTCTGCATTAACATGAAATTCCAGAAATAGAAAAGAAATTCTTCGACAAAATGAAAAAATTCGAATTCAAAGATAAATTAGCACTGAAAAACTAAAAAACCAGAAAACTAAACGCACATCTACCCAAAAATTCTTCAAGAGAAAACATATACATTTTTTATCGCGAAACATAGAAGTGATAATCCGGAAATCCTCGTTTCATCTGGACCGAATAATAACACAAAACTTTATTGCTCTCAATTTCCAATACAAACAACATATAATGTCTTATTCTGTCCAAATGTGACGACAGAGAGTTATATTAAACTGATGCAATTGAACTTTTAATTCTAGTTCTTGGTCCCATATTCTTTCCTTTACTCTGCTGAAAACGCAATAATGAATCAATTTTGCTTCTTCCCAAAGCTTGAGGATGAATATTGAAACTGATTTCATGCCTGTAATTTACTGTTTATAATTATTTCATGAACTTTTAGTACAACCATCATTTGCAATGACATTAATTTAAGCTAATTTAATAATAAAAAATGAAATCGAAAATTGAATGCAAAAAACGTGAGTCAACGAATACATATGATACAAAATACATGAGTTCAATATAATGTAATGATCTGCTACTCAAACTTTGTATACGACTTCTAATCAATTAACAAAAGAATATCTACTCATGACGATCATCGTTTTTATTTTAGTTTATAATAACGCAAAGTTATGTAAATTTAATGTTTTGAGATAACTTATGAATCATACTTAATGTCTTGTTCTAGAATGATGCTACCCGGACATTCTTTGGCGAAACGATCAATTTTCACCTTGTTGTTTCTCGCCTGAACTATATATATAAATATACATATCTAAATAAGTCATTAATTTGTGAAAGATATTCGAAAATTATTTTACGGATATAATATGAGATGTGAACCAGAATTCTCGAATCACAGAGATTCAAGAAACCGAGAAATGAGAGCAGCTAAATTTACTTTTTTGAATTTTCTAACCAATGAAAAAATATTTTCAGATTTCTACATGATTTCTTATGCATAACTCATGTGTACTTGGAAATTGTGCAATATAAAATTAATAGAAACGACAAATTATTAAATTCACCACAGTTCTCACAATATCCCATATAAATGACAATGGAGCATTAGTCTTGATAGCTTTTGGATTACAATGAGAGATTGAACAACGATATCCGGCATTTAACAGTGCTGAGCGAAATTCAACTGCTTTTGGAACCGATGATTTGACAACATGCATCAGCTGATCATGCTCATAATAAAGTGGTACGTCAGGTATTTCCTACAAAAATATAGAACAAATCAAGACTTGTATCATATTCGACACAAAAGTGTTATTAAATAAATAACTTCGGGAAAAAAAAATTCCCGAATCATGAGAATTCTAGGCAAAAAATCGCAGCCATATCATCAACTACATATATCATTTGCTATCTAAACTCCTTACCAATACTTTTAAGGATCAAAAGGGTTGAAAAGCCTAAATTAATTCAAAACAATAACTTGTCCATCAGCTCAACTCCATACTAGAAGTAGTCTTGTATCTACTAAGCCATCTTTCCTATGTAATGACGTTTCAAAATTGCAATAAATTTGAAATTGTTGCCAAATGTTAATGATATGGTAATGAGGAAAATCAAGCTTGTATGTATGGAATATTAAAAAATACAAAAAAATTAAAATTCTACAGAGGAAAACTGCAACAGACCTCAGCAACCACAGTTAAAACGCCAACTACTCGCATATATGTCTTCAAGCGTCTTTCTTCCGGAACAGATTTTAATCTACAATTTAAAAAAATGCAAGGTTTTAACGTAGAAAAAATGGTAAAAATATAGAAATCTAAATCTAAAATAAATAGCTTCAATTATTTTTTAACTATTTCTCAAAGGCTTTTAGTCAGAGGTTTACAATATTTTAGAAGTAATGAATTATTAAATGACTACTCAATATAACTGAAAGTAAAAATTGCAGTAAATTAATTTTAAAATGCCAATGAATTCGTAGACATCACGAAAATCATCAAAAAAAGCACAATATAATATGCAAAGAATTTTCATTACTTTATTGTTCCTGAGTTAAATGACGTCAATTAAAAAATTTTTTATGACAAATTATTAACCTTTTTAATAACTTGCCAACGAAATCGTGATTATGTATTGGTGCACTGTAGATAGGACCAGCCACGTGTACTGAATGCTTGCAATGTATACATTTTCCATTCTGACCCAATAAACTCACATTAAACGTTACTGGCGTATATTTAATACTTTTTTCATTGACTGCTTTTTTTGCAAGTGGTTGCAAATGTAATGAATGACAGCCGGTACATGCGAATACATAAGATATCTTCCTGTGATTTTTTGCAGCATTTTGAAAATGTTCAACTGGTTAAATTACAAGACATACTAATCGCTAGCAGCATATCTTTGCTACTTTGTTTCTAATGACATAAATTCGTGCAAAAAATCTATATCCACTTAAAATTCAGGAAATATTGACATAAGGACCGTGAATTGAAGCACTTCCACTTTTCCGCTACTTAAAGATTGGAAAATGACCCTTACAAGTGGAACTAACGTGAGCGAACACGGTTGTTTAGAGCTGGACTGGCAACAAATGAAAACTCATCTATGCATTTTAATAAACAAAATTTACTTACGTGATGCTATCTTTTGCCATTACTGCACTCGTATGTATTTTTACGAAAACTCGTAAATAATAATCGACACTTACTGACAGTAACGGTTCAATATATCTTCCATAACAGTTTGCGTGTGCATCAATAGCTTTCAATAAAACACGAATAGCCTGAAAAATTTTGATTAAAATAAGAAATTTGGTTCTTAATGACTTTCAGGAAAAGCATTGCAAAAATTACCATTTATGTCATAAATGAAAGTTAAAATATATATCAAGAATGTTTTTGGAAATATTTAGCTTTCATAAATTCGAGGTATTAACATACTAAGAACCCAGTAGAAAAAAAAAATTTCCCATTTTTTAAAAACATTAAACAAAAAAATTATAAGAAATATCCCCTTTAAACGATCGGAATAAACAAATAGTTACTTCGATTTAATCTAAGAAAAATTTTCGCAAATTCAATGATTAACATTGCATAAGACTCCCAATTAATAAAAACTTATTAAGACGAGCGTACAAATTCATGACAGCTTTTGTGTTTCAGGCCAACAGATCCATATTTGTTATAGCATGATTCAGGTGTATTACCACATAGCACAGCCATATCCGTACATGTTACCATTAAAATTCCTGTTAATGATTAAGTTAGTACTGTTACAATTGGAAAAATAAAATGTGTTAAAACCGATTTAAAATTTTTCATTTTACTGGTTCAGTGAAACCATTTACCAAACAATTTAAGCCAAATAATTGAAACATACGTAAAACAAATCCAATTTACCTCAAATCTAAGACATAAATGAGCAAATATAGTAAGAAAATATACACAAGAAACTAGTACATACCGAAATGAGACATCAAAATTTTTTTTAAATTCCTGAATGCTTTTTCAGTATAGATTACTTTTTTGCAAAAATAATAGACTTGGTGCCACAATAAAAAGCATGATTTGCACAAGCATGAAATAAACCTTTATCTGCCACAGCCTGCACTGCTGAATCTAGAAAAACAGATGCAGAACCATATGGATCAATATCAATTGCATGGAATCGCTTATCAAAGGACCGACAAGACATCATGACATCCCTAAATGATTCATCATAGCAGTTGTAAACCCTAGACGTCCAATAAATGGAGTTCTTTAGTAACTCTGATAAATGCAGCAAACCAGTGAACTATTTAGGTGTTCAGTTCTGATATCAAGACACTTTATTTTTGACATCCCATTTCGAGAATTAAAAAACAACTTTTTCAAAACTGTTTCGCTAACAAAATATGAGTGTCATCCTTTGCCAAACAGCAAACTAAGTCAGGCCGGCAATAAATGGGATGCGTGCACGACAGTCGTGAATCTGAAGTGGTTGAAGTTACCAACTCAACAAATTTAGTCAGATTTACATGTTCCATGAACTGGGATCTAAACTAAGTATTTCACACGAAAACGAAACTCAGTAATATAACCATAATTAAATTCATGAGTGTTGACTAAACTTTTAAAAATTTTATAAGACTTACACAGCATCACTACATTTCGTTTCTACAAGATCCTGCACTCTGTTCAATTCAATATTTTTATTGATCAAATTTACTGCTTGCTCAGAAAAGTCATTCGCTATTATCCTTCCTATACTTGGCACCTGAAAAAAAAAGAGATCATGAAAGTGAATGCTTAAGAGGAAAATTATGAAAAGGAACTATAAGTTCAAAGCTAGACAATGCGGTTGAAAGCAGATTCTTTAAAAAATATTTCACCTCCTGGGCAAAACGAATAGCCCTGAGACCACTTGCTGACAGAGCATCTAAGATACGTATTTCTTCACCCTATAATAATTCACAATAATGTTAAGGACTGATTATGCAATTTTTAATATTATTTCATAAATACCAATGCTAAGCTATAAACTATGCAGTTTTGGAAGTTTACTCAAGATATCTTCTTAAATAATTTATTAGATAATTTAACTTACATCTAGAGATTCAGATTTTCGAGGTTTCTTAATTTCTGGCTCATTATCTGCTTTCTTTTCACTGACCTTATTTTTTTTTAATTCTTCCTTACGATCTTCAACAAATTGCTGCAGAACCAAAATTCTAAAAGGAAATTGCCTTAGAAACTTTTACAGTGAAGAAAAAACGTTTTGCAACTTTTACTAGCATTAAACATTTGCCACATGACAGTACGGACAGAAATTTCGAAAGGCTTAACATAATGATAAATAAAAAAAGGTGTACAGTGACTTTAGTTTCATAAAGAAAAAGTAATCACGTCAAGTCACGATTAAACTGTTGAGCTGGGTTGTAGAATGCCACGACAGGACTAGACACATCCAACCTTGCTGAACCTTCCATGATAAAACCATTTGTATCATTATTGATGATAGAATCTGACATATTTGTATGCGTCTTTTCTGATGCCATCTCCAGCTAATCCAAAATTAAAGTTTCTGTAACCAAAATGAACTCAACATTTAGTTTTCCATGCGGAGGTCGACAAAACATAGCTAGCTAGAAACTCATCATCCATTTCCTACAATAGATCCCTCTTCCATCCTATAACTTAATTAGAACTCAATAAAAGTCACAAACGTTACTGGAACCAAGAAAGTTCAGTCATAAACGACGACTCACCGAAACTTTGCGCTCAGTACCGAAAGTCAAACGCGATGGTTTAATTTGTAATATGTAATTATTTCTAACAACCTCCACAGTGAATGAGAGATTTGCCTACCGATGCAACTTTGCTCAAAAATGTTACACGTATCTCATTGCAGGATTTAGTAAAAAATAGCAAACTTCGTCATACATAGATAACACTCTATGTGATAGAAAAGTAGAAATGACATAAGATCAATTGTGTAAATAGCAAGCAGTTACCCAGGTGCGATGTTTTACCAGGATATCATGACTAAAGACTAACAAGAGATTATTCCCATTAAAAGCACGCAGAAGACCTTTCCAAACAAAATTTACGTCTGAAACTGCTACACCCCACAAAAAGTCAAATTCATTCGTACTTCTCATGTAAACTCAACCAAATAAAGTAGAAGTAATGCTAAATTCATATTCACCACGCATCATCCCTCACGTTTTTTCAACAAAAAAAATCCTTCTTACCGATTTTAATAATACCTTATTTGACAGAAGTTTAAAAACATTCAGATAAACAGTAAACATTGGTTTATACGTCAAAAAAACAACAACAACAAAACAAAATTAAAGCCAACAAGTGCAATGAAGGCTTCACTTTTCATAAGCTACTGATTAACATATAACAAAAAGTGAATTACGAGATTGATGGTCATAAAATCATTGCATATAACAAGAGTCGATGTAATCGAAAGATCACATAGATGCTTCATGCTTTACAAAACTAGACTAGGCACAGTAAGATCAAACACTCTGGACTTCATTTCATTTCAGTCATAAAAATAGCAAAATTAAAATAAAATAATCGAATGAGACGATAAGACTTTTGATTTTCAAGAAAAAGAACACCGGTCACTCCACACTGCTAATGATACAAAATTTTCTGCTTACCATATTAAAGCTTAAGTACAATGCTTTTTGAGTAAAAAAGGGCTTACTTACGTCAAAAGAACTTACACTGCTTTTAGTATTTGACACTGAAGTACACATTTATGCATTTGTATGACGAAAAAAAGACTGAAATGTGAGATACAACAAAGTAAAAAAAATTGAACACGATATGAATATTCTTCTAAAGCGATATACGACTTGTTAGAGAAAACTGTAAAAAAGAAAAAAATGTTCACCACATAATATTTGAGAACACTTCAAAGCAAATTTGGAATAAACGAAATTGCAAGTGGATGTCTGAATTTTGACTTAATACTGAATTATAAAAGATATGACAATTATCAAAATAGCAACTACTCTGTCTCATGACCAATCCATACATTTTCGTCACAATCACCTTGACATTTGTACGTTACCATTGGTACTGCACAATGAGACGAAATCACGATACTCTTCATCATGTTACCGCATATGGGACACCTAAAAGTAGAGATTAAAACTGTTTTTGCAAGTAATATGAAAATGATTTTAATTCGAACTGTTTACTAAAAAAATGAAACAAAAACCTATAAGTTTTGGCTCATAATCATTAGCTTACCTTTTAAAGAGTTGAAATAAATGCTTATCATCCACCACAAACAGCTTTCTTTGAGTCTGTTTAGTGACAATGGGAATAGTTCCATTTTCCGACACAAAGGAACCATTCAAATCAGAAATGCCTGAATGTGTCATCGAGCTGTGGGGAATGCTAAAATAAGTGTTTCATCATCGAAACTTAATGATCATAACCACTATGAAATTATATATACATATATCATAAAATCACACGAAGGTTGATCTTATTTTCTGCATTACTGATTCTGATGCCGGATCATATCCTGACACTCTGCGGCCCACGCCCAGTTCTGCTGTGCTCGTCTTCACTGCTTCATCTTCGCTCAACCCATGGCAGTGGTCGGAAAAGATGCCTGCGAGCGTCTTCTTGAGCATTATCGATCAGATATATGCCTCGACGTGATAAGATATACTGATTCTTCAAGCGTGACGTTTACGGAAGTTTGTTACTATCCCACTCCATGTTAACACATTCAAAGTCATTACTATCAATCTGTCCAGACAAGTGATGCCAACTTTCATCAAAACTACTTCATGTAGTCTCTTATCGTGCACCAGCTAATCTACCGCATTTGTTCTAATCGCTGTTCTCTAATCTTCACGTTTCCATTCTTAACTATCACCTGAACAAAGTGGCTGGAAATGCGTCTAGACCATACTTTTGCAGAGTCGTAAATGGATGCATCGCAGCACCTTATTAATTCTCCTAATGTAGTCATAATACAGCATTATCTCACACTGCGTTGCAAGATATCCATTGTTTTCTACAATGTGAGCACATACTTTTATCAGCTCCAAACATATTTTTATCTTACAGGTGACAATATCGCGCTTCATCTTATGAGGTAATATTCCAAAGTTGCAGATACATTGATAAATCAGTCATTAAGGCTAGCCCACTACTCTTCATTGTATAGCTTTGCATAACGAACTTTCTTTTCTATTTCACTATACGAATCTACTTCTGATCTGCTAGTAAGTTTTCAACGGCTGAATCGTCTGAATCCATCTATCGTCATCTATTTACATACTATCTATATAGATTTAGTTTAATGCAATGGAGCATTAATTAACAGTCCATTAAACCAATCACAATCTCAACTTGGAAACTCATTTCTCAGCTTCCTCATGCCTATTAAAAATGTTGCAAGAAATTTAAACACTGAAACTATGTATCAAAAAATTTTGTGATTAACTTTGGCATGCGAACACCAAAAAAATAACAAAACAATTACCAGATGAAAATTAAAACTGATTACTATCAATCATTAGGATAGAAGATTTAAAATAATTCTTAATCAAACCTCATGCGAGAGTCGGTTGAACCAATTCCCATCGGATTTCCTGTTGTTTGGTTTTGAATTTTGAATACCAAGTCATTCAAAGTAGAAGTACTAATCGTTTCTTGAACGTTATTAACGACGAATTCGTCTTGCCCGGCATTCTTGAAAACATAAAAATGATTGCTTCAATGCTTATGTCAAAATAATACGTAAAAATATGTGGAAAAAACAGAATTCAGTAATTATGAATACTAAAGCAAGTCATTACAGGAAACATTTAAACAATATATATACGAACACTTCTCACCAAAAGAAAATGACCCGTAAACAGAAGCAAAGTTATTTAAATTATAACAGAAAACAATCAAATAAATATCCTTCTCACACCCACTTTTAAAATCCGTTCTCCTTGCACAGGACACAAATTATTTTCATCTCGCATGTCTGAAAACCCAAAATGCAATTAAACAATGAATAAATAAAGGCTCTGAAAACAAAATATGAAACATAGCTCCATGTTCGTTCCTATCACATCATTTTAAGTGAAGAGTCCACATTATTATTATTAGACAAGTAATACGCAAACTTTATACAGATTTCGTTTTAAAATTATAAGCATACGTGACTCAGGATTGCTTCTTACTGGGAGTGCAACTTCAGGACGAGCAAACAAGAAGTTGCTATCAGATTGAACCTGAAAATGACATTCTTGTTATACATTAATCAGTGAATACATTAAAGCTACAATTCATCATTTCTCTTCGAAATCTGTCCCTTTTCACGTCATGCCTGAAAAATCTCAAGAATCCACAAGTAGATAAATAAAACTAGATTGATCACGAGAAATGTTTTTCAATGTCTAAGTATTCTACTTTCAAAAGTTTCATGAACCAACGTATTCAACGTTAATGAAATTTAAAATAACCAACATTCACAGAACTTTGTGTCGGGAGAGCCGGGTCAGATCGAAACTCTTGAGACTTGGTTTGAATATCTATATTTTTAGCTATATTCTCTGAAATTCAATAGCTCAATTTAAGTGAAATAAAGTTAGAAAAATAGAAAGCAATCAATTTTCACAGCCCAGTTATTCGAAATCGAAATTTGTTAGCGAACGAATATTCATCTATACTGGCCTTCAGAGTTTGACAGTTCTCGTTCAGAAGATCTTCCATGTTGAATGTTCTGAAAAAATTGAAGAGAACATGAAAAATTACTCCATATATTTCAACAAAGTAAATTCAAAAAACATGCAAAACGAACATTTTCTTCTTGCAAAATGGAATGAAGCCTTTCCCAATATAACATATGTCTTCGAACTTGTGAAAGCCCCTAGCTGCTTTTTCTAGAACCTGTTTGAAAGGTTCCTAAATAACCGAAAATAGCACGATTCGAATATTTATCATGACTTAGTTTAGTAAATGTTGTTGTGGGTAAGCGAGAAGAAAAGACATCACTAAAATCCCGTGCGTGATAATGAGGGTTAAAATAGAGCTTAAAAAATTACCTAGAACTGAATATTTAAAAAAATCAACACGCCAAACACTGCTTCAAAGCAATTTGTTGCTGTCTGCCAGTTTTATTCATTCCTACCCACAATTATTAATGGTTTCAAATAAGAACTCAAAATGTTTTGTTTTAAACATTGAAAAACGACCTTTGACCACATCTCAAAATTCGCAGTGCCTTCTTGAAATGACTCCTCACGTGCTATCTGCACAATATTTAGATTCGCGAAAGATAACGGCTTGCAATCAGGATGATGAGACGGAAAAGGTTCACTAACGATTCTGTCTTTCAAAAATTTGATAGTAGGTGGTGAAATCCTGCTTTCCAAAGAACGTCGAAACAAAAATTCGCATTTAGAGCAGTTATAATAACTGTAGTAATGACGTTTAAATGACTGACGATAAATTCGGACACGATCGCTTCTTCGATCTCTCACTGCTATACAGTTTTGATATCCACGTATATTCCGAACTACTTCGTAATCTTTTCCGCTGAAACTATGATAAGCAGCACTGCTTTCTAAAATTTAAAATGAATCGAAAACAAAACTGATAAGACTTGATTTCTCTAAGGCTAATGCATGAAAAGTCATACTTCTTATTTTAAAAAAGATTCAACAATTTTATTTCTAAACCTTTTGTGAAATCAAATAAATATTACTTAACAGAATGGTACAGAAAGACAACTACAAAATCCACAAACATTTAAAACTACTGAGATATAAAAGGTACTTGATAACTGTTAACATTTATTTTTACCATTTAAAAATTTTTTCACATCTAAACTCAATTATGATAGATACAATACAGAAACACCATAGCATTTCTTTACAACAAACAAATTATGCTAGAATGAAAAAACAGAAATCAAATTATAAACCAACCAAATGCCAGAAAATGAATTCATTAAATTCCGTCTATGATCTAATTCGTGCGGGTTAATCGATCGCATTGCTTCACAACATTGTGCATAACTTGATAAAAGGGATGGCGAAATTTGATGCCCAACAATCATTGTTATTCGATCAACAGCTTCATCAATCGGTAACTCACCTGTCTGTACCATCGCCACAGCTTCCGATACTTCGGGTCTATTCCACATTTCACTGAATTTTTTTTAAACAGTCAGTCAAAAGTATAATCCAATATCACCTCATCATTGAACTCAACACACAACACATTATAAATCTACATTTCAATCATTAAATCAATAGCAGAGACTGCCGAATGTCAACTGATAAAGACGAGTATGAGTGACTTTCAACAATTAATACAAATTCATGCATGACTTTTTTTAAAATCACTCATGATGATCAAACTTCACAAACTACACAAATCATAATATACCTGTAGAAAATCAGCTGCTCTTTCTGTTCTTGCTCATTTTTCTTTGTATTCAGCTGCTTCGAACATTGAGAATTAGATATTTGGTTCTGCCCTGTGGTTTCGTTGTGAGTTGATAGCCTTGCAGGAACATGTGTTCTGACCAGAACTTCTCTGGCATACACTCCTCCAACTAAATGATATACATCCCCCGGAACTACTTGCTCTATGTTATCGGTAGTCTGTCGCTGCTCCGTCTGTGTTACTAGTCTATGAATAACATCATTACCAACCTGTCGCTGCAAAGATTCACCGTTTGATTCCATTCCTAAAAATAGAATACCTGGATGAACTTTCATCTAGACTTGCAACAAAATAAAGATAAAACCACATTATTTCAGTTTCAGACAATTATTGCAATCTTTGACTTGAAACGAGTCACGCAAACCTACTCAAGAATGATTCCTTTTTAATCATTTCAAGATGTATAAATCTTGAACTTCATGTACCCACATATTTTTTTGAGTTTAATAGTCAACATAATCACTTAGAAATGAATCTCTTCACATGTTAAACATTTCTGTGCCATTAAAGAGTTGAAAGATTAAATAAATGTCATCGATAATAACGAGTATAAGTGACTTTCAATAATGATACAAATTTATTGATGATTACGCATCAAATGCGACAAAACAAGAAAACACGCAGATATTGGTTTTGTAAAATAGAGAACACGAATTTAAACACACAAACTTTCTGAAGCTAACATTCCCCTTTTTTTCTTCTACAATACAACGTACGAAATTGCAATAAGAAATATACTTTGTACATGACGGTATTACGTCTTTCACAATAGGTGGATTCAATACAAAACTACAATGGAAAAGAACATAATTGTTCTTTTCACATATCGTGATTCACTTATTAATTTGATATGTCAACCTCTAGAGTACTTTACTGACCTCACCCTTGAGAAAATAACATGAAACGCAATCAGAAATTTTGAAATACTATTCAATTTTTTGTCCAAACCAGACAGCTTGCTCACACTTACTACATCTGTAAGTGACAGTTGGTACGGGTGAATCAGCATATAAAGTCACTTGCTTCAACTTTTCACCACATCCCGAACATCTGTAACTGATTATCTGTCAGAGTATAGACAGTAAAGAATGTCAAGGAAATATTTTAGACTGAGAAATTTAGAACGCTAAATCCAACTAGATATATGAATTTTCTTTGAGAGTAAACTAGCATTTAGATCATGATCGCAATAAACCTTTTAAAAAGCTGAAGAAGCTGATCTGCTTCAACCATGAAATATTTCCTGTCTGTTTCAATAATACACTCACGACCGTCTTCAACATGACGTCTCTTTACTGTTCCACTGTCTACTACTTTATTTTTGCAGAGAGTATCTTTCGTCAACACAGGCCTGAAACATTGCAAATTAGACAAATGCTTGATAATTGAACTGCTGACAACGAAAAAACTTGACATCAGGACATAATTCAAAAATATAAGCCAGATGAGGGTATGAAATAAATTGCAATAATGACTAAGCATAAAGGATTTAATGGATGCATTCGGAACTACAAACTACTTATGATACTGATACTGATTTCACAAAAATTTTGCCACCAAGAAATGAGATAATGCAGCATACCTATTCATGCCAACATCTAAGACATCTGAAATTATTTTCCCATCACCAGTGGATGGAATGCTTTCAACATTTTCCCCAACAATGAAATCATCCTCTAAATATGTCTCTCCACCGTTACCATAAGATTCGCGATACTCCAGTCCCTAAAAATAAATTAGCATTTAAATAATAAAGAAAATACGCATACCAGAAATAACTTACTTGTTCCTTTTCATACCAATCTGCAGAACGCGACCTGTTTTGTATTTGGTGAGTTGGTTTCACACGGAAGTAATGCGGTAACAACATTTGTGGATCAATTTTTTCATCTGAAAAATAAAAAAACATTGTAACACTTGCAAGTTTGTTTTTCCATAAACAAACTGAATCTACGAAAACCTTGAGTTTATACCAATGATAGTGAACAAGGTCCTTAGTGTTCTGAATAAGAAATCTTTTGTGATTAAGAAGCAACACCATCAACCAAATTATATGATCAAATTTTCTAAATATGTAAATTGAACATGATTTAGCGCTACCAAGTTCGTCATCATTTTCGATATCAATATCTGCGCTTAATAATTCATCCACCAGCACAGCGTTGCTTGACGATCTATCGCGCTATAAATTTTATTGCGCTAAAATTCAATAAAGAATTTTTTTTCGACATTTGGCTTGTAATAAATAAATAATATCAACCTACTGAAACATTGGAGGAGCAAACTGCTAAAACTTAAAATTTTTTAATAATAATTTTTTTTGACATGAACTATCAATTAAATTCAGTGTCTCCCAGTTTGAACTAACCTTCCAAGGAGGAGGAACAATGAAGTCAGCTTCCGAAATGTTTGACATGTAATCTCCGTTCCACTCTGAACTGACTTTCCAGATTCGATTTTGAGTACGATCTGCAACAATTATAAATAATGCTAAAATAGTCCAATTCTACGACAACAAAGCAATAGAGTAATTAGAAGTTTTTTTTTAATCGTGAAGAGAAAATTGAATTGCTTTCAATTTCTTAAAAATGAAATTAATATAAAAATCACCACAAAGTGTATAATCGTCATCACTGCCATCCCAACTAGCCTGAAATTTTTGCATCAATAACGACCTATTTCTTGGCAAACATCAAAGACTACAAAAGACACCAATTTAATTCAGATTGCCAAAGATTGTATAAGAATTGAATTACTGATCTAAATAGTTGAATATCATTTTTTTCAAAAACTTTGAAATATTTTCATTACGAAAAGCATGCAACAAAGAAAAGTCCAAGAAAAAAGCCAACATACTGAATATATGTCTCCGTATCGTGCACCTTTCCGCCATGGAACATTATTGGATGCAACATATCTCATACGTGTAATGCGACAACGAGGGCATTGCTTAATGAATTGCTCCACATCATTAGTGATTGAATTCCAATAGAATTTGGTTGAGACCATTTTACGCGTTGCATTTAAGCCACCATGATTTGATTCTAAGTGAGCCTGAAAATTGAATGACTTATCAACCAATTAATTTTCATTTATTTTCTTCACTCATAAAAAATAATATAAATTTCACAACATACCTGAGTGAGGATTTTTTCCACATCATTTTTCTTAACGACGAACTGTCCCACAGTTGTTTGATCAGGTTTAAATCCTGAATTTAGGTATATGTTGATATTTAAAAACAATTTTTACTTCTGATAAATGAAATCACAGAAATAAGGAACAAATGCAAGTCATTGTAACATTGTACAAATGGAACTGTACAAAAGTAACATCACAAAATTACATATATTAACTGTTTTGGAAGTTTTTCTTGTACCAATTAATGATACATTTAGAAGCAAAATATTTCTCAATCCACTTGTTTACCAATATAAATTAGCTGATCTGTTCCTTCAATTAGCTGAAAACGTTTAGCCTTCCGCTTGAAACAATCAATACGATGCTTCAGATGACCCTCAAGGCGTTTAGGGATTTCTTTGCTACGATGATATAGCACCAATTCTTCATAAGCTTCATCACTGAACCCACCATAAACACATCTATAATTAATTTACTATCACAGTAAATTTTTAAGTGAGCTTTGTGGGCATATTAACTAAGTAGTATTACCGAATGACATGTCTCACATTTAAATTTTGTAAAGATCTTCAATACCTAAAGATTCACAAATCACCGAAAGATGGATACCAACTCATTTTGAAACGTTTTAACTTAAAGTTTTATAATACCGAGAAAAAAGAAAGGATTACAAAATACAATTCAAGGATCATTTGAAAACGAAAAAAAGTTAACGATCTGTTTTTTCTTAAAGCTTGCAAACTGTAGAATAATTCTCAACAAATTATCTTTTGAACCTAAACTAATCAAATTCATATAAAGTTTTAAGAAACCTGATGTCTTCAAATGAAGATGCTAGATTTTTTAAATCTCCCTGAGTTTTCAAATGACACTGGAATGCAAAATGACAATACTCGAAAATTCAGGAAGTAATTAAATAAAAATTACAAGCAGTTAAATGGTTGTTAACAAACAGTTAATCGAAACTGAGTTTTTACAACTACAGAATCAAACCTAAATAACTTTGATATTCGCCTCTAATAAATACGATTTTCTGTAAATATTTTAAGCATGTTTTTTGCTGCAGATTATGAATGTAAACCAAACCTGAGATTTAATTCCCATGCAATGAATGAATTTTATTCCATATAAATAAGTTGTTTTTAACTTACTTTTTTTCATCAGAACTCGGTTCTGTCAGCAATGTCACCTCCAAATCTTCTCCTTCCTTTTCATATTTTGAATCTACACCGCCATCATCACCGCTCATTATTCAACCTGTAAAGAAACTAGCTTTAGAGCTTGATTATAGCCATTGCCTTTTAACATAGTTCAGTGCTATGCAGTAATGTATGACAGAACGTGAAGAATATATATTCAATTTCATTCAAATAAAAAATATACTTTCAGAAAACCAATGCGTATTTTACTGAATAAATAAGAAATATAAACTTAGTTATTACAAGACAAAAAGGTTACAACACACCACAATCTACATACACACTCAAGCTACATTTGGTACACTAAGCATGCAAACATCAGTAAAAAAAATGTTTCATGTCACCACGCAATCGAAACTACAACACAAAATTCTTTTTCCTTAGCAAAATAAATCAATCGCATATGTTGTCAACTGCACCACATATTTCTCTATGTAATCATGTTATAACTATGTATTTTTAGCAAATAACACTAATGCTATAACTGTGTCAAATTCAACTTTCAAGATGAAAACACTCCACAAACCATAAATTCAAGTAGCTTGAGAAATATGATGATAATACACCAATCTGATGACCAAAACAATCAATAAACGACGCTATGATAGTAAGACCCCTGATTGAATTAAATATAGACTATTCTGAACCAAAGAGAAACAATTACCTTTGTGGTGCTTGTCCGGATTTCCCACATATAACCATCATCTCGCAATTTTTCGATATTTTACGTTAATAAAACTTGAGAGTCATCGTAAAAGCCATAAAGTGATCTACTATCACTCGTTCCATTCTCAGCTAACGAAAAAGCTTTCCACGTCCAGCAACCTCAGTACAATGACCTGACGCAGATGGTGCAAGAAAGGAAGCATTTCCCACAAGTTAAATCATGTTATGGCGTCATTAAATCAAGGTTGTGGCCCGCGGGAAATCCGGCTGCTCACACTCACTACAGTACTTGACAAATTACATATATATGGCTCTGATTCTCAGTGGAAACTAGTGGATGCAGAAGCCTGAGTCGCTTACATTGGAAATCAACTCATGACCTTATATCCTCAGATATGTATCAAAGAATACGAAGATCTAAATAACTTGTATTGCTACTACGACATACTCTGATATAAAAATCGATTACTTCTGCTTATGCGAACGACCAGCTTGCAAAGAGCCCGAAATGAAAATTTACGTCTTTATCACTTTCCAGTCTTTACAGAAATGCCAAAATAATAAAACTCTTTGTGCTTACATTACTTAACGTTGCCTTATTTTTTATAAGAAGCTGTTTGAGTCGACTACTTTTCGATGAATCTACCGGATTGTTCGATATGGATTAATCCATTTGGAGGGCAGCCGCGTTCTGAAATTACGTCTTTATCTCATATGTGGTATAATCTTTTTGTCATTTCAACGAAATTTCAGACATTAATTTTATTTTCTGAAAGACTTTAAAAAAGGCTGTTGCTTGATCGAATAATATTGAAATTGCAGAATTACATGCGTTAATTCACAGAAGCGCAATCAGTAAGAATTTTGATCAGTGGAAATTTTATTCTTACTCAATGCCATGAGAAATTGTACAAATTTCAATATTATGCAAATATTGATTACCTTGCATCGAGTTTCACTAACCTCTTATTTTTAAATTATGCAGGAAAAAATGAATAAAAAAATTACTCTGAAGACATTGGATGAAACATTCATTGGTTAGTCCTCGTTAATGCTAACAGTTCAACCGCGAGCCATACAAACCAGAGCTACTGGTGGAACACTGGTCCTTAAACTTGTCAACACAAGTATTGCGCGACTGGCTTTCAAATTGAAATCAACAAATAATAAGGAATATCGGGTTAATCCGGCTCATGGTTTCATCGAACCGCAAGGCATATACCATGTTGCGATACAAAAATCATCTGGTCCAGTAAAGGAAGATACCTTTATCATACAGTATGCTGAGGTAAACAGTGCCTTTCAGAATTTGTTTGGCGTAAGCGTAATCCATCTAACTTTGCCGATCTGTGAATAATTTATTTAGTAGAACAGTTTAATCTTATAGATTAAAAGGCAAATCAGAAAGTGACCTGTGGAAAATTTCCATATTAAATTAAAACTAAAGTTACATTTAGGTAGCAGCGGATTGTACCGATCCAAAGGCACCATTTAAAGCGGATGCACAACAAGGTGAAATAATTATATATGCACATGTTGTGTAAAAAAACTAATGCTCGAGAATTTACCTTAACTGATTACCATCAAATGATTTACGTTCCTTAAAGAATTCAAAGTTTTAGTCTGCTTATATTTCTCACAAAGTCCCAGGTGGGTGCATCGTAGCACCTCACTATACCTTCTAGTACTCATGACGCAGCACTTTCTCACGCTGCAGTGCCAGATTCTCCACCTATCTATACGCTCGGCTCAGTGTGGTCACATACCCTTCTCGATCACAAAATATAATTTTCATGGCAGTACCGTGCCCGTCAGATTGCATAAATACACCTCTGAGTCTTCATTAAGAGTTTTTCACTTCAGATTCAAAGATAACGTATTTGGAATCATGTGTCATAGTCACACATTACTCTTCATCTTCCCTATGAGTATTCCATACCAGCACATAGGCAGTGCTCTCAACAACTTAGAAGATCTCTAGCATTTAGAAATCATAGTTCGCAAGATTTAAAAACTTGGTAAGAAAGAAAAATCTAGTAACCTACGCAAGCACGTTAATTATCAACAATGTGCACAGCAGTTGTATTATATGAATGCTTCTTGACATGATTATGGGGAACGAATTATCATTACTTGGTTTTTTTAGTAATTTGAAAGAAAATTAATAGCACGTCACTTGCAAAATAAACATTTTGTACTTCCACTTCGAGTCTTAATATGTGAAAGCCTTAGGACGAGCACTTATATCAAAAAACGAACTGTCGGAGGAGGTAACATTTACCTTATTCTGTGTCTGCATATGAAAAATCCAAAACCCACTTTTATTTACAATAATTCATTACTCAGATAAGGTGAAAACAGTCATTTTATTTATCTATTCAATCCATTACTGTAATTACTAGTTAACGATTTTTTGCTACATTTTATGATCTGTAACTCGAAAGTATTTCAGAATGAGAGATTTAATTTACTCTAACCGAAAACTTTAGACAAAAAATTAGTACATTTTTAACCTCAAGCACTGCGTTCTTTTTTTTAAATTCTAATGATTAACCAAGATTTAAATGACTTCTATATTTTATCACACTTTTCATCAAGAACAATCTGAGATCTTTGGAAACGCTGTCGAGTAATTTCTAGAACGTGTTGTTTGCTAAAATGCCTCTCCGATACTGGAAGCTTCATCTCTTTCTGCGACCCAAGACCAGCACGAGCAGTACGAACCTCACTAATCACCTTAAACACAGTTTGCGATTCTTACACGATCAACCGCAGTATCACTTGTTACACACAAAGTGAAATTTTTCTAATATGTATTCATACTCATTAATGCCAGTTTAATTACCAAAAGATAACTCACTGGTTCTGTTATGCCATCTTCTCTTCGACCCAAACCCGAACCTTGTTTCCAACCCATTCGCTGGAGCAAATTAAACCCACGGTTGCTTTCATCCAGTACTTTCAGTGATGGTGATGGAGCTTCGTTTACAGCTAAAATCTGATAACATTTCAACACATATGAAGAAAGAATATAGAATATTAGATGTGGATAAAATTTGTACAAGTAAAACTGATACAATCTTCAAGACAAATCAAAAGTGAAATTTTCTGTAGCAAGTGATTCCACATACTGAGTGACGACTGAGCTGAGAAATTAGCACACACTTGCCGACCACTAGTTTGCATTACCATATTTGAAGAATTATGCTCTTTTTTTTGATACTTGTATTGATATCGGTGTTCATTCTAATAAAAAAACAGATAGCTGTAGATAATAGTCAATATACTCAAAATATGGCACGAGATAAGAGAAATTTAAGCATTGTGAAAGATTTACATCAAATATTCCATATTCTTTTTTCATATTGCGCAAATTTATCCTCCTTAACTTTTCCTTTGAAATATCCCGCACTGGATGGTAACAATGAGCATCAACTGACGAAGTTGAAAGAGTGTTTCTTAATAAACCAGGTTCACAGGTACCACATGTATTCGTACCTAAAACAGTAATTCTAATTGTAATATTTAATGAAACAAATTAAACAACTTGGTTTTGATATACATCACCAATGTTTGACTGAAAAGTTGAGATGATGCTCTTCATGCAAAGTAACATATTTCTGAGCATAAAATTCAAGTTAAAGTAAAAATATCAGATAACGGCCAATAACATGTCTTCAGTGAATTAATGTTTTTGAACAATAGTTATCAAGTGCAGTAGATATTGAATAAAGATATCACCAGCAAGATGTCTCATTATATTAAATTTTGACATAAGTTTCAAAATTTAATGAAATATGCCGTTCAATAATAAATATGCATTCTGGTATTTAAAAATCCGAATTTTTACCGTAGTGAATGTGAGTCGCTATTTTTTGTTCTCCAAACTGCCATTCGTCACCATGATCTATAACCACTTCTTCGTATGTAGTAAGCATCGATCCATTATGAAATATACTTGACCCCCCTTTTTCAATCATGATTAAATATCTTTGTTTGGTTTCATCATAACGAATTACGGCACTGAGCTAAAAAAAAGGCTTATATTTAACGAGAATGAACAACGATATTGATGCTATAACCTAAAATTACACAACATAAATTTCATTTTAAATATTTTCTGACAAATATTTGATCGTAAATTATAACAATCAAATGTATTGATTAGAGTAAACGTGTAATAAAAATAAGTCACTTACTGTTCCTTAAAATAATGACATACGAAAAACTATTTACAGCGGAAAAATTCAAAATTAATTCACTCTATTATTATGTATCAGTAAACAAGAACATCATAAATGAACACTTATAAAGCAATAAAATAAAATCATCACAAGAAGTTCCTTTAGTTATAATCCTCTTTTTCTGACTATGTACATGGTTTTTTCAACAATCAATAGTATAAATGAATTTCTATGATGAAAAAATGAACAATTAACCTCATCAGTAGAATGCGTTTGCGAAGAGAGCTGGATATCGCTATCAGAGGTTGTTCCAATTCTAGCACCAACAATAGTTACAACATTTAACGCACCACTGTCTTTTTCAATAATTCGAACGCAAGGCGCATAGTCTATTCTTTCCTCTAGAAATGAGAGTTGAACAGCTTTCTCAATTACAATAATAGGAAGTTAAACTATGGTGGAAGTTTCGGATTCAACTTCACACAAAAATTGAAGTGCTGATACCCTCCTAATAACTTGACATCTATTTTTTGATAAATATGTAGAATTTTAAATAAAGATGATTTATTTTAAAAAATATATTAATACACCCATTTACAAAATTTATCAGTTCATTTTAATGAGATCATTAAACAAGATTTCATAGCAAACTGATATACAATAACACAACTAATTCACTATCAAACGAGAAAACTACCTTGAATGTGAATACTTATTTCATCATCCAGAATATCGTTTTCAAAGGTCTCACAGTCAACCAATTTCGAAACGTCTTTCAGTAATGAATACAGGCATTCAAAAACATCTACTTCATCTTGGGACATACCATTAACATATGAATCACCTGGAAAAGATCAATAAAAGAATTATGGCACCGCTAACAACTGAAATTTAAAATGAATAAATTAAAAAAGGAACTTAGTGTTGTTATCAATTGTAATACATTGTGATTCCGTTTCTATAAGGATAATGGCAATGAGGCTTAAAAACTACTTTAGAAAGAATCCCTGTAAAAACAGTGCAAACTTTATAAGCTTCAAGAATAAAGTCTTTCAGTAAACTTTATGACTTCATTAGTCTATGAATTTTCTTGCAACTCAAAAACAACCATTTTATAACAAAGCATAACATTGCTTAAAGTTTATATTTTTTTTCCTAACGATGTGATTTAATGCTTCAAAAAAGAAACCTAATAATGTGAACGCTTTCCTTTCAGCTAACTTGTCAAACCAGTGATGTTTACAAGGAGGTCGCGAGTAATATACATAATTATCCGTTTCAGTATCATAGTAATAATAACAGTTGGTTGATGGATGATAGAACAAGGCTGTATCCTGAAACAGTTTCACATAAAACCTGACATCAGTTTGATACGTGAACAATATGCAAAACCTTGGATAAACAAGAACAGAAAGAATTGAAATAATACAAACAACCATGACAAAGAAAAAGGCATAATAAATATGCTGTGAATAAATACTAAATATTCTGCGTGGATTCTGAGAAAATATTCATAGCAGTGTAATTTGATTAGAAAAAAAGAAAGAATTCAGTAATATTTGAAAGCTCCTCACATTAAGAATAACAGGAAATTATAACTAACTTGATCATAAAAATAGCCAGTGATCGGATTATAGTACAATTTGTAATCTTGAATGAATTCAAAACCTTGAAGATATTTGTTACATAGAAACTCATTTGCTGTTTGTCGAAGGACATCTGCAATTGACATTCCATTCTGCAATCAAGTTAAAATGATATGACGTAGGATTAGCTAGATGCTTTGTCTAGTAAGTGTTTCACATGATATAGCAAGTATCTTGGAAAAATTGTCTTAAACTCTTTAACTAACGAAAGTAATTTATAACTAACATTTCGACGGCTTATTTACAAATGTACGTCTGAAACACTGTATACTGGTAATAAGTTAAGTTAATACTAACATATGCTTCCACATAATAGGAGCTAGATGAGAAAATTCTCATAGCACTGAACAAATGTCAATAATAATTCGTGGGCATATTTTTGCAATGAACAGATTATGCTGCAAATTGTACTTGAAAAATTCTTATGCAGTGAAACAGAGATTACCTGTTTGTCATCAACTTCATTGGTAGATGGAATATTTGACTGACACATTGCAGCACCATTATTTTCTAGCATATCCATTTTCCAAGCTTTGAATTGATCTGATCAATTCACTACACAAACTTTTAATTGCATTGCACAAAATACGAATTAAAAAAATATCATATAACAGAAGAAATAATTATGTAACACGTGCAAACGGTATGAAGAATACGTGGCCAGTTAATTTTTTACGAGATTTGATGTACTGAGAGTACTAGTACACCACATAGAGAGATGAATTCCAACCGCCCTGTACCGCCCTTAATTTTATCCAATAAACCAATTAGTGTTTTAAAGAAATTAAATAGAATAGAAATATTTACTGACACAAATTTAATAAAGCCGTTAAATACGGCTGCAACCACAAGAATTACAGCAATATCATAACTTTCGATTAATAACTTCCAAATCGATATTTTATTATGCCTCTATAATTATTATTGTTAATGGATGTAGTCCGTCATTTTTCTCAAGTTCACTTTGCAAAAGGAAGACGAAGTCAAAAGTGGAGCCCGATGCGGGGCTCGAACCCGCGACAGCCAGATTAAGAGTCTGGTGCTCTACCGACTGAGCTAACCGGGCTTCGTACGATACCCCTTATAAAACAGTTTTTAT